ACTGTTAGTGTGGATTAGAGCGTGCACGGGCAGGAAATCACTGCAAATTCACTCCTCAGATCAAATGTAAATACAGGTGATTGATACCATTCCATAACAATTACAGTAAGAGTAGCAAACATGTGCCTGCAGGTGAAATGATGCGCAATTGGATGGTGAGAAGGCGCCTTATATAATTAGTTAGAGGAGACAGTAGGCGTTTGTGTATCAGCATGTTTTGAAAAAGGGTTTATGATGACACCTAGTGAGAGTTTGGAGATTGCAGCCTTTCCCGCTCGTTCTTGCATCGCTTGCATCTTACTGCCAAAATACTGATTCATGTCCTTGCCAGTGACGCGCAAAGTTAATTCACAAGCAGCGATGAAATACAACGTGAGATAAAACGAAGCTTGTAACACTCACATGAACCCAATATGCTTTTCATTTAATGTCTCAACAGCTCTCATGTCATACAAAGTGCTGATTCTTGACTTTTAGTGCAAGTGGATAGCGACAGTACAAGTTCCCACTGGCTTGCATTCTCAGACAGTTGTGTGACAGAATGAAGTAATTAGGGGCTGACACACACACACACACACACACACGCACGCACACTCGCACACGCACACACACATGCAGGCACACACACGCGCGCACACACACACAGACAAACACACACACATACAAATCATGGCTTGAATTTATCTCTTACAGGAAGAGAGGGGATCACCAAATCATAGTTTACCTACATGCACGCGCACACATCTGCAGAGCCCACACACACGCAGCCTATTTTGACAGCTCTGTATGAATGCGCGCACCCGCATGCTCCAAGCGCTTGATAAAGACACCGCTCTCTCTCATAACCCGCCCCCCCCCCCATCCTCACGCACGTCTCCTCTGTGTCACCGCATGCCTAGACCGAACCCTTCGCTTCCTGTCAAACCCCCCCATCATCACCATCAAAGTCCCGGCAGTGACACACTACGCAGGTGTGTGCAAAAAAAAAAGTCGAGTTTGGACGGACGACGCGCGGAGGACCGGTTCATTGACATTGATCGGTTTGATTAATCGCCTCGACTTTGATCCAATGACACACAGGTGTAGTTCGCATGCACGGGCCGAGGTCGAGCTTGGTCTCTCCCCCCTGTAATTAAAGCAAGGGCGGGATGGCGAGGTGCGTGTGGGTGCGTGCGCGTCGTAGACAAAGCGCAGAGACGCATTCCAGCACTGCGTCTTCAAAGGGTATCATTTGATCCGCTCATTTCCATCAAGCACGAATGTCAGTCAGCACTAGAAGCGATCATATCTCTCTCACACACACACAAACAGACACAGACACACGGAGACAGAATACATCCTGCTTGTCTTTCCCGCGTTCACACAAGCCCCGGGTCTAAAAATGCAGCAGCCAAATCGGTGGGATAAATTTAGAGCGTCACCCCCAGATCCCAGACCAGACCCACTGCTGAGGCGAGACATACGAAAGCAATTAGGGCAAAGAGAGGAAGAGCCATGGCGCCATCTAGTGGAGAAACGCGCCAGCTACATCTGTTTCACACTGCTGTTCTTAATTTCAGTATATTATAGAGAGAATGGCAGAGGTGGTAAAAGTACTAGTCTTACGTACAAGCAGGAGTATTGGTATAACGAATAGTATTTTAAAATAAAGACAATTTTGATAAAGCATCGCCTTTGAAACACATTATTATACCATTGTAGAGATGTTTCATACTGGCTGAGAATATGACAGAAGACAAAACAATGTAGAACTTAAGCCAATGGTTACATGAATGTAGAAGCACCGCTAACTGTGCTATGCTAAGAAGCATAGCTAACCACTTCCAATGTGTGTCTATCTTGTGTCTCCATTCGCAAAGTAACTTGTCATTTTAGTCAAGTGATACTGGAAATATTCAGTACAGAACTTAATAATCTAAACTTACATACTTTCCACCACTGTACAATTATCACAGTAACCTTAAACATGTAAACATTGGCAACATTACACAATTTGACTAACACTAAGAAACACAACAGCTTTTGGAGGGTTCTACTCCTGTGTGTCTTTATCGAAAACATGTCACAAAACCTATTGGTAAGAATATGCCATAGTTTATAGGAACAAGGTGTAGTGCCATCCTATGTAAATATGTATTTGGTTGGTTTGTTCTGAAGTTTTTTTCATCAGGGCTTCTGCAGACTGCTTTTGGTGTCATCACATCTTATAAAGTTAACTTGGGACAATTTATAATCTGTGTCACAACAAAATGTGTGTGTCCTACAACTTAAAAGGCCTTAATACAGCATTCAAAAGGGTCTGTATTATCAGTCAGTGACAAACAAACCTACTAATACAACCCACAGTCAACTGAAACCTTTCTATGATTCCGACGCATACTGTATCTCGGAGAGCGTGCAGAGCTTGTACTTCTAACACTGACATTGCCCGTTTGAAATGGCCTTTTTCTGGAAACCTTTTTATCGCTCTATCGGTTTAAATGCCAATACATTGAAACAGCTGCCACATCTGCTTGTGTAACCGCTCCCTGGAGGAAGCACATTTGAGCGTGCATTTTGAACAGGCTTCGATGGCCTGGAACAATTTGAGAAGGCCCCCCAGGGAGACTAATGGAGCCCCAGGTAAAACAGTGATGACTTTAAGCTGCGAAATGCTAGAAAAGACCAGGACAAAGGCAAAAAAGTGTTTAAGAAGACAAGTCATTTTTAAAAACAGCACATTGTCATTAACTTTTAGGGAAAATTAGGTGGATACAAAGATTAGCAGTTGCACAATTAGATGGAAAAAATCGAGTTCTGTCATTTTGAAATGTCAAGAATGAAACAAGAGCTCTTTAATGACAGTGTCAAACAAATCAGTATTTTTGGGTGTATTTGTTTCGATTGTTTATGATTCTGTATACGATGAAGTAAAGCTAGGACATCACCTGCTTGTTCCATGAATAGTAAATGCAGTTTTTCCCAACAGAAAGATGAATGTGAAAGTAACATTTTGTGAATAATCATCGCATTAGAAATCATGTTTTGCATTCTCTAACACACAACCACAAAGGTAATGAATAGACAATCACAAACAAAACTATTACGCACTGTCAATCAGGACTTTTTAATGAACTGTATTTTAATATGTATTTTAGAAACCTGCACTTTTTATTTGAACTGCACACTTAAACTTGAGCCCAATGAGTCATTATTTGACGCTTTGGGCTGAGAGCTGATTGGCCGAGTGAGAGTGGTCTCCTCTCTTTCACTTTTACATCACTTTCACTTTTACATCTGAAAAAACTAATCTAAAGCTGTGACAGAGGCCGAAAAGTACATGAACTACATGAAAACTAGTGATAGAACAGTTTTGAGAGCGAGGAACTAGTTAGATGATTTTAGCCCCTCCTTTATCTCCTATGGCCCTGTGCTGTTTACACCCTGTTTACAACTTTTTATGCTCTATTATAACGATGAGGCTCAAAATGTATTTTCATTGTTTTTGTGACAATGACAATAAATGACTGAATTTTGAATATTGATTTTATTACACAGTTCAATTGTTGTGATTTCAAGTTCAACTGGTTCACAATGTTCTTTTGAAAGCTAAGAAGAAAGACAAATATAAGCTAAAATCAATATGAATTCTTGACATCAGCCCAAAGGACGAAGTACAGTGACGCACATGTCGAGCCTGGATCTGAGTGTACTGTACAAAATAGCAGTGCATCAGTGATCTGGACACTACTTGGGTCTATAAATAGCACGCTGGTCGGTACAAAGGCATCCTGCCATGTAAAAAGTGACTCAAGCACAGATGGCTTGTGAAAGATGTGTCGTGGCTCTGTCTGTCACGCACTCTTCACACATACTGCCTGGTTAAGTGGCAGCAGTGATCCTTGCCCTGAGAAAGCCCCCCAACGTCCCCCTAACGTCTCAGCCCGTCCGGTGGCTGCTCTGTGTAATGGGCCTGACCCACATGAGGGCTGCGTGGAGGGACACACCTGTCACTGGCTCCTTCACAGATACGACACGGAAATAGACCATGGACGGGATGACTATCACAGCCGAGCGGCCAGTATGAGTGAGAAGTGTGTCATTAGCTCAGCAAGTCCCAGGTACCAGTGTGCAGAGGCCAATGCTGCTCTAAAACACTTAAAGGTAAAGATACTTAAAAGAAATGAATCTAAATGCATTAAACTCTTGATAATGCCTACAGTTTTCCATAAGGACCGCAGCATGAATTATAAATACAGAATATCAAATAACCAGGTAATTTTTCTTGTTTTTAATCTTTTAATGTGATTGTTATGTTAAGATGGTAGATGATGGAGTTCCCCTGGATCTGTTATTTACAGTCTATGGTTATGACTAATAGACTGCCTCATCTCAAAAGTAAACTTCTCTGAATACTTAGAAAAATTCAAATGACTAATTTTCTATTTATATGTGGTGTGTGTCATAGTTTGGTCCAACTAAAAGCTGAATACATTTTGAATTTCTTATAAATGATCAGCATAAAATGATACTGTTGATTCCCCAGTGAGGGATGAATAAGCAAAACAGCAGGTGGACTGATGCGTCACTACATTCATATAAGCGAAGAATGCCACAATTGTACACGCGTGCACGCACACACACATGTATACATGTATACAAACACTCACAAACAACTCATTTGCAAAAACAGACACTGAAAATGTCAAAAAGTTGTATTCTTAGAGAAAAAATCTTCAACATGTTTGTTATTCTCAGTATGTTTTAATACGATTGCTCAAAAGGGGGTACCACTTTATTTTGTATGGCACTGAAATAAATATGGCCAAATCTAATGGTAGTTATCTGTTTTATATCAATTCATACACTCCAACACATATATATGTATAAGACGGTAGGACGCGCACTCGTGATGACGCCTTTACTTTGGAGCGCTCTTGTTTCCGGTTGTGTGCCGTGTCTTCGCTCAGATCTGCCTCTGTGGTGAACAACATCAAAGTGCAGCGGTAGTCAGTACTCACAGAGGCGGACACAGAAGTCCCACACGCCCAGCAGCGCGCTGGACACTTGTTCAAAGATCCACATTTCTACAGAATACAGAACTGCTCCCGCGGCCAGCGGCGCGGCTCTGTCTTTACGCGTCTTACTCTGACGATATTGGATCTTATGTCAGGATGTGACTCGCCCCGATCACAAACTCCCGCCCCCCGCACATTTATCACTCCGACTCTGGATGGGACTGTCCCATTGCGCGTTGTAAATGTACGGGTTACTTTGACGCCATGACGCCGCAGTCTACGTTCGGTTTAAAGCAGCTCAAACGCGTGTCCTTTCACTTTGCATCTCTCTACATTTCTCTCTAGATTCTCTCTACATTCTCTGTGGGTGACACTGACTCATACAATCAGAGTGAAGTGGACTTGAACCACTCTGTGAACATGTGAACTGCTCAGTCCAAAGCACAGGCTATAAAACAAAGAAAAGGCTTGAGTCTAATAAAATAGAACTCATTTATATAATTATCTGTTACAATGAGCTGGTCAAGTAGTTTTCTTTTCGTCCACGCACTCTCACATGAGCAGCAGGAAGGTGCTGTGCTGCAGTGGGCCCCTGGGGGCAGTGTTGTACAGGCTTTGACACTAGCCCCACAGAGATGCTCTTCTCCTTTAGCAACAGCAGTGGAAGAGAATTCAGGATGTTGTGGAATTGACTGGAGAAACGAACAAGTTAAGCGGGAAGATAACACTTATTCTGAATGACTTTTTTCACCCAGTAGTTTCCTGTAATGTGTTTTTTACAATCTTTCCCTTTTAGCAACTGGTGAACAGCTGAGAGCCCTGCGTTGGTTGCTGAGGTGAAATCCCTCTTGGTGTTGACAAGACCAGCAGCAAAACGAAGCGGCAACATTTTTCCAACACTTATTTATGAACTGCTATACTAAGCAAAAGTACTGGGGCTACGGGAAACTCCCAAGCATTAAATTAAACATTTGTCCGCTGACTATTACATGAACAAGATGAAGAAAGCGTTTTAGCCAATTCCTCAACACCTCTGTAGAAAAGATAGAGAAAGTGGAACTAAATAATTGACTACAGGCCAGAAGAGCAGAAGAGTCAGCACACTCCCATCATCAGAACACAAACTTTCTCATTAAGAGTTTGGTGTGATGTTACTTGACCCGAAAGAAAGATTTATTTTAATTTTTGATTATGCAAGAATGATTCATTCTGTCAAACCAGTTCACTGTTGAAATGATAAAGTCATCCTGATATTGCAGATAGGATCATCTTAAAGGCACCCATCTAAACGCTTCAGATGAATCTAAAGTTATCAAGTGAATTATTTAGGTTCCTTAAAACTTCTTGTTTATGTCACTAATGTTCTGTAATCTGTATGTATTTCATTATTGTTAATAGTTTTACTTTCTCTTTCTAAATGTTTGATTTTAGCAGAGGGGCGGGGTAGGGTGTGAAAGAGGTGTATGTTTATGTAATTATCTTTTCTAATCCTTAATTGTTGTGTAGGTTTGCGTGTATGTTTGTATACTGTATATGTTTAGGACCCCCTCAAAAATTAGCTGTTTAATTTCAAAGGGCTTTCCTTAAATAAACTTCAAACTTAAATTTATAGTTATATTTTGAAATTAGATTAGATTAGATTGGAATAGGTTATTTATTCATTCAAAAATATAACATTGTGCGCTATACAGAAAGCACTGCAAAAACAACACATGGGCAACAAGAGAATGAAGAACAAAACAAAAGAAAAAAGGTACAGGGAGGATCTGCACAACATATATTATTATCTTTTTATTGTACATAATATATCTTGCACAAAATAGACTATATCTAAACCTCTTAAGACTTTTGCACAACCTTGAAAATCCACAGGAGAAGGTATAAATCTCTGCACCTTCTCTATGTGTACACGTCACATTTGGCATTCTATTTATACCAAATGTGACGTGTACATCTCTCCATTGTGAGATCAATCAAGTTTATCTTATCTTATCTTAAAAAATTGACCTGAGAAGTAAGAAATAAAGCGTCTGTAGTGTCTTTTGTGCTGTACATGTCGGTCTGATCCGGATGTGGCGAGGAGACGACCACTTGGCTTTCAAAGAGGAACGATCAAAGAACAGCTATTTCTGAGGGCTCAAAAGATCATCAATAATAATGGAGCAGGCATCTCCGTGGACAAACGAAGGCTCCTCATTTGCGTATGTGTGTGTGTGTGTGTGTGTGTATGGGAGACGGACTGTGCTGGAAGGAGAAGTGGTGACAGAAAGCATAAGTGGGACCGGTACCAGTGGATGAACAGTTCTTCAAAAGCATCATGCAATATTCACCATAACAATATCTTAACGTGGCACTCTGAGAAGCTGCCGACAGTCTGTGAAGTGCAGACAGAAAGATGAAATATGGTTTTCCGCAGAGAGGGATTTCGCTAAAGCTATACTTTACAACAGTATAATTTCAATTTCCGGTACTTTTTTCTGCAGACAAAGATGTGTCTGGAGGGTGGATTGACAGAGAAACACATGAATCATAAATAAGTTGTACAGAATCGATACGCAAATTTAAAAAAAAACAAAGTCGAGGAAAAAATCCCATTTAACTGACCTTTTGGGATCCAAGAACTAATCCATCAATCAAAAATAATAATGGGCTAACTAATCGATTATCAATATAAGATTAGATAAACTTTTAATTGTCCCCACTGAGGTTCCTGATTGGACGCCATCAATTCAAGTCCTTGATAGAAAGCTGAGGTTTTAAATATACTTGTGTGTCTCATAGTAGGGTATTGTGGATCACTGTATGAACTGCACACAATCATACATGTATTCTGTATGTTGGTTTACTGTATTGTATTCTGTGTATTATTGTGAGTTGAAGATATGGTAAAGTGTGTCCTACAGGTTTGAATACATCTACTTATTATAAAAAATACATAATATTGCTGATACTACAGGGTCATATCGTCAAAAAATATGTATTTGAAGTTGCAGACATGACCTTCAACAGTCAATTTGACAGTTTTTAGTTTGGTAAGTCTAATTACTCTGTTCATGTACCTTTGAGGTCTTCATAACATTTGTATTTAAATTTGCCATTTTCCGTTGCTTTCTTTCTGTGGCAGTTAAAGCGCTTTTTCAAGGTCCTGGTCCTGGACTGGTTCTGGTTCAGTTTGGGTTTCCACCAGAGAGGAGCAAGTGCCGGTTACCATAGCAACTCGTTTACTAGCTTAATATTATAGATATATTTGAGAAAGTAAGCTATGGTAAACTTGTATCAACTCTGGTGAAAAACTTGAATGAGAGAAGTCAAAATGGCGGCTCTGGGAGAACCAGTAGTTTCATCATTGTCCTAGTGTTAATGGGTATGTTTATCCAAATGTGTTATTGAAACTTTTTCCAATTCCCAAAAAGCGTCCATTTGACAAAGCCGAGTGGTGATGTATGGGGCGACATATTTAACATCTGCACAGGGTTTACAGGGCTCTCACTTTCAGTCCATGTGTAAAAGGTTTAATACCATGAGCCGTGAAAGCACTCATTTACTCTGCTTTACTTTCATTTCAGTCGGTGAACTCAGCCAGCAGCTCCTGTCTTGTTTGTTCTAACAGAAAGAAGGACGCAAAAATTAAATGGAGCCCAAAATCAACACGCCTTTGTGTAACCGGCGGATGCTTTAAAAGTCTCATTATTTTGGGAGAGATGATGTTGGAGAGGTGTAAATATAACATAGAGCTATTTCGCTTATTACGGAAGATTATGCCTCCTCTTCTTTCTCCAATCGGCTCAAATTTAAACCCTTGATTACGAGTTGAGTAGGCAGCCCACTTTGATCCCAGATGTTATATAAAATGACTTATTTAGAGACTTAATGGCGAGTGCTGCTACTTTGGGAAAAAAGTTTTAAGCTTTATGATTGGGGGAATATTGATTTTATATTTAAACATAGCAGTAATGGATTTATTTGAATTTTATATGTATTTTTGTTTGCCCTAAATCAAAATAGCAGTCGTTTCAAAGTTGTCGATTCACCAACAACAGATTATAGAAGCAAACAGTTCTAACACAGGAAATACAAAAATCACAAACACAAAAGAATAACAAGATTCAAGAAAGTGTTGATGGTCAGCCTGGAAACTCTTGTTACAGTCCTGTCAGAAAGCGCTGAGAACTACCTGAACAGACTTATAGGTCAGACTCTGGGATCTCAGTCTCTGTAAGACCGGGGTTTGGATAAGTCCACCAGTGTTAATTAGAGAAACTCCCCGTAGTGAGCAGTGCGTGTGCTAAATCCCCGATCTATTCTCCTATTCTCCTATCCATCCTCTCGCCACGATCCTCCCCTCAGGTGCCGTCGGTCATTAATTACACTGACGGACGACTTTGAGAGGAGATCTAAAGAGGTGATGGACGTCAGCATGGCTCATCTGTGGCAGTATTATGGTAAATCCATACATCACTGATAACCACAGTTTAAAGCCTGATGCCACTCTCCTGTTCAAGCTGAAACTATGGAAAAAACATGTAAGAGCCAGAAAGATGGAGTTGGACCTATTTGAAAAGTCACATACAGACAGTGGACTGTGTGATCAGGAAACTGAAACTCGGAAACTTAAAAAAATAAACATAAAAACATTACAAAAAGGTTCTGACGTCCATCCCGAGGGCAGCTGTGGCTACAATAGCAGCTTCTCATCACTGTGTATGGAGTGAAAGAATAATGCCAAATGAAGATTAACCTCAAATCAATGTATTGTACTGTATTCTCCAATTAAAATATTCAATCAACTCAAAACATCTACCAACAATATAATATGAACAATATAATCTCCAGCTGACACGCATCATTAAGATGTGTGATTTGGGGATTGTAAAGCTTGGGATCAAAAGGTCACTAGCAATTCCTGTTAACCTAAGATTATAAATGCTGAAAACAAAATAAAGCGGCCATTCAAAAGTTGTGTGAGAACAAAAGAAACTGATATTTACCAGGGTTGTGTCAACTCTCTTAACTGACTCTTGAGTGGCTTCAAACATGGCAAATCGCATCGCAAAACTTATGTTGTGTGTGTTCCAAATCTCTGCAAACTCCTCGGATATGGCAGATGAATATGAGGTTGTCAATCGGTTTCTGAATGCAGAGTGGCTCATTAAAAGTGTGGCTAATTGCTTATATTCCCGAAAAGTTTTTAAAAAGTTATGACAACATCAAGTTTCTTTAAATAAATATGAAAAACCAAAAAAGCCATCCTAATCATTTCACATTAGCGCGCCATAGTCCTTTGTCATCCTTTTTTCAAATTGCTGGGGCTTGATTCAGAGCCACGTCTGACAGCACCACTGCAGACTTTTAGTTGGTACAAATTGCTTTCATTTCCTTATGCTAATCCCCTTCTTTTTCCGCAGAGCAACTGTACAGCATCAGGAGCCACTGTAGGCTGCAAAAGCACAGTTTAGTCCCCCGCACAGAGTCTGATAGATGAGCTTCATTACCTGCTCTTCCTCAGGGGAGATGGCTCCGATTGTCAGCGCCTTGATCCTATCTGTCTCTTTTATGGATCAATAAGTAGCCTCACACAATGGAGCGATCAGCTGGTTCCTCTGCTGCGTTTAATTGTGTTGTTAGCCTTACAGTCAATAGCCCTGTAATGAGTAAATACTGCACTGCCGCTCCCTATTATTATCATCTTATTTTTAATACGTGTAGAAGGAGGCAGTCAATTAAAGTCCCTTTCCAGAGTAGCATTAAATGAATGCCGGTGCCGACTCAGTGCTAAGAACTTTGAATTGATTGAACCAGTTGTGCCATTCTTCCAATTTGCGGTAAATATGGGCTTAATTAGCCGATTTGGGAATTGTTGTTGTTTAATTGGCATAATTACAAAGAGCGTAGAAGCAAAGGCAGTGTGCGTCATACCCACGGTGACTCAGAAAGTACTATGTAAGCAAACGGAGGTCGTGTTTGCAGTAAAAGTAGTCAGGGAGCAATGCCAGTACTACTAAGCATCACGACGGCATGTAGTAACACGGGGAAGGACCACGAGGCAAACAGGAGGGCTGTGGACAGAGCCTTACGAGCCGAGTAAGCTCTGCTCTGTATTCGTGGTTTATATTTGGGCAAAACTGGGTCAGATGGATGATAAAGCGCAGGGGTGAGCCTGGGAGAGTAATATGTTGAGTGGTCAGCAAACTACGGAGAACGAGAGATTTTGGAATCAAATAATATTAGTCAGCTGAGCTCCCAAATACATTTCCGCACAATCCAGGTCATGACTGTGTTGAGTATCCAAAATGCACTTTAGCCTCTACTGTGACAACACAAAAATGACCATCACATAACAATGGTTTCAGAAACTTTTGGCAAACATGTAAATAAATCCAATAACACACTACCTAGGACAAATACTTTACAACTAAGAACAGTTATGAGTAATTTAGCTCATAAGTTATGATCAAGCTATATATCATTATTTGGGGTAATGTTTTGTTAGTTTCAGGAAATTTTAAAAATAATTTGAAAGGATTTTTGAAATCCACAAACTTCTGAGTGCAGCTGTCATTAATCCCCGACACAGTGCATAGACCTTACACAAAGAATCCATAATGCATCTTTTCTAGCTACACACATGAAAATATAATAAGCAGTGGATTATGTATGCACCCATGTTCCGCAGAGTGAGTTGAGTGCATGACCCACCTGTGCTGCTCTGGATGGTCCTCACAGTGGTGGTGGTGCGAGGAGGAGAGCTGGGCCTCCTGCTGGACACCACCAGAACTCCACTCTCTTCGTCGTCCTGGGAGCAGCCCTTTTCTATGGCACGGACGTAACTGTGGCTGCGCATCCGGAAACAGCTGGGCACAGGCAGGTCCAGAGCGTCCACGGCCTGGGACTCCATCTCGCTGAAGACGGACTCGCACACGGCCTCGATCTGACCGTTCACCTCCACCTCACTCACCTGGGCAGAGCGGGCGAGCGAGAGGGCAGGCTTATCAACACAGGGAGTATGTTTACTGAGACAAGGCAGCAGGAAGTGAAAACAAGGGCCAGGCACATGCCGATGACAATGACATTCCAGTGTAAGTTTACTGTGGTACTGTTCAGCCCCAACCAGGTTTACGAAGAGCTATAGATATCTTTCACTAAACTGGTGATCACTTTAGAGGCCACAAGCGCCCTGCAGCTGTCTGAGCCGTAAACTGTCTTTGAGCACACGGGTCAATGATACCCATGAACCCAATGATGAATTGGTTTATTCTGAACAAGGACAAACTTTGTAGTACATGTAGAGAAGCTTTGACGGCCATCTTATCAAGCACATGCAACAAAAATTGAATCTGTTATCAATATGCAAGATTTATTGGGGATGTTCCGATACCCTGTTTTTTGGGATTCAATCCAATACCGATACCAGTGTGATACCACAGACAGTGTCGTTAGTTTAAGTACAAAATATTGATTACTATTATTATTATCAACATTTATGGACATTGGTCATCTGCCCCTTATGCACCAATACAGATGTGTTTTCTGACTCTCTGATCTGTGTTGGCAAATTCAACGGTTATGTAAATATGTAAGATAACTACTGTTGTGATTTAGGGCTATACAAGAATACATTAAATTGAATTGAATAAACTCATGTAAAAATTTACTTTTGAGGGAAAAATTATTGGAAACTATCCATACTTGAAATCTTGGCACATCTGGGGATTATACAAGAAAATGTGATTTGTGCCAATATTGGAGTCAGATACTCAACGGACACTTGGATAAAGTGCAGCATCACTATTGGTACAAGGTATCGGCCCATTGTTGGATTTTATGGTCAGTAGTAGAAATTATCTTTTATCTTTGATCCATTTAACAATTCAAAATAATGGTATTTCATTGGCATGCACTTGTTACAAAGTCGTGACAAACAGCAAAGAGTGCAGAGGGGGAGGGAGCACCTTGAGACTGGAGAGAAAACACTACCAGTGGTGTGTGTGTGGAGAGAGAAAAGTTTGATGAACTCACGGAGACTACAGAGGAGGTGAGAAAGTTAGTCAGCTACTCTACTTACAGCAGCCTGAGTGCATCTGTTCAAGTCCCATTCCACTTCATACAATTACTCGACTGTGCAATTCCAAAAATCTCACTTTGACTCTACGTGTGGAATGCAACTTTTCGTGCAGATCGTGACAGTGCTCTTTCAGAAATGTGATAAGTGGAGAGTGTTGAGCAGAGGACATATTTTTCTGTGGAGCTTGGATTCAGACAAGTCTCAGTCTCAGTAACCGTGAGAGAAATAGCTAGTTCCAACAGCACCTCCCGGTCCACTTTGTCCGTCTCTCCTGGGCCTACATCAAATCAGGACTTGAAGGCAGGTCTCATGAGGCGGCACTCGGCTGGCGGAGTAAGGTACGGCCCCTGGGCTTTTTAGGGATGAAGCAATATCCCATTTCCCCAAGCAAGGACGTAAAAGTAGCAGTCTTATAATTGCATACTTTTGAATAGTCTGGCCCAAAACTATTTTTCATCAAAATGGAATTGTCCTTTTTTATTTCACGCTTTTGAATTTGCATTTTCTTTGAATCGCATGTTTTATAATACTGTTTGGACCCTTTCTATCAGAGTAAATGGTGCAAAGGTTAAAGCTGGAGTACCTAACTTTGAAATCACAAATAAAAAAATCCATATAACTAGTTCCTGGCTCTCTAAACAGTTTGCTTCTATCATTAGTTTTCACACGCATGTATTTTTTTCTCATGTCACATTCTTCAATCATCTTTTCAGAGAAGAATAGAACCACCTTCCATCAGCCAACAGCTCTTATTATGTAAAAGATAACAAGTTTTCTAAAAAGATGAAGCCTGTTATGGACTGGTTTCTTCACTAAAGCAGGACTATTACTGTTGGGACAAAAATAATGCATTTATCAAACACTCCGGCTTTAAACGGCGGCAAAAGCATAATTATTAAAACGTTTTTTCTAAAGTGTTCCATATTGTAATTATGATCTTTTGCTTTCCATTTTATTTTTAGCGTGTCATTTTGTCATTGAATATTCAGATATCTGGCAGATGTAGGAAATGGTTATGCATGCCCCTGTTTAATTAGGCAATGCAAATCAACCAAGCCCGGAAAAAGCATTATGCAAATATGGAGTTTCTTATATGTTAGCGACCTGATTGCGCATTCTTGCCTTTGAAAAGCAGGAGCTGGCGTGGCCTCCCCTCTGCGCCTCCTTGTGGGGCCTGACATAACTGCATGCGGGCAGCTCTGAGGCACATGCCCGCGCCGCACTGACCTGGCTGATGGTGCTCATGGCTCGCATGTAGCTCTCGTTTCTGGAGCGGAATTTGGGCGAGGCCAGCAGCCCTGCCGGGTCCAAGCTGTCCAGACTCCTATTGATGGAAACCTCACTCACCGCCCGCAGGTAACTGTGGCTCCGGATCTGCAGCTTAGGCGAGTGCTCCGTGGAGATCCTGTCGAGAGGACAAGACACAGGTGGATGAAATTGACTGAAAACAAAAACGACAAAACTAACATTAAGTCTATTATACTCTTATATTCAAATATCACATTTACTTTGGGAAAAATGTCACGGCAAATGGGTTCAAATCTGCTATGAACAGACTATCAAAGTAAATTACATGTATTAACTAAGAATTATTTGTAAAGTATTATTAATTCAATTATTTCTTGGATCTCCACATTCCTTCCAATCATAGAGATACTACTCTTTAGGTATACTGCTCCAGTTTGTTTGAAAGTAATTGTCTCAGTAAGTACTTTGCATGGGCAGGTGCAATGTATCTAACCTTTCTGTTTATTGTGTAAATAGTACTGCTGTTTTTCAACTGCAATAGTTTATCGGTATTTTGATTTGTATTCTGGTAGTTATTACAAAAGCACTTTATTGGGACTGTGCAATATTCATGTGTTGATATTGTGCAGACGAGCTGAAGGTCCTAATGCTGAGCGTCTTGTATGTTTGCGTAAAACAGCCTTAGGGACAATAAAGTTGAGCGTTGAACCTCAAACCTCTAATGGTTACAAATAGACGATTGAAAAGGTTTACATTTTTCATCTAAAATAAATTTAACAGATGGAGCAAATGTGAAAGATTACATGCAACTTACGAGGTTCGAGGGTGAATTACTGATGTGGCGATGACTAACGTGGTCCGGAACTGGATAATAACATGACACACATTTGTGCTTATGATTGCAAACAGCCCTGTAGAACATTTCATTGAATCTTCACAATGATAAGTACACAGTGATCCTAATCGAAACTGTAATATCTATCAGCAAAAAATGAGTAGAGGTTGCGGCACATGTAACAAAGCATGAAAAAGCTTCTACCTGGAGACCATTCAAACAATCTGGATCAATGCACAATAGCTTCAGAAGACACTTTAATCGAATCAACAAGTGTGGTAGTGGATTGAAGCTCCGGCAGTGGCCTCAAAGCAACGTGTAAGCATTTTCTAAAGCACATATATTTGTCTGAGCCCAGAGAAGAATGACTTAAACGACTTCTGCTGTTGAGAAGAGACACACAAAGGGGTAGAAGTGTTCAGAAGTGTGCTGGCTTTAACAGTTGCCTCATTACGGCTCACCTGCCTCCACTCCTCTCACAGCCCAGCATGGCACTGCCCTGATGTTTGTAGAGAGCGCAGGTTACACAGCAGCTGGAAGTTAGCTAAACAATTCATTAATCAGACCAAAACCCCAACTGCTGTGTCTCTTGATGAGCGCAGAGGCCCGGAAAAATACCATTTAGAAAGAACAGGGAGAAATACATTGTACGTCAGGAAATAGAAAGGACGTTTTTTAATAGAATGTGGGGAGTAAAGGGTTTTATTTATGTGCACGTGCGATGTGCTCAGCCTTTGCCAGGTCTGGTTTAATTATGTATCTCTGTCTTAAAATAGGTCGTCATTACTGCTGAGAAGAAACGTGGGCTCAATACAGATGATGGACACATAAAACAGATGAAAAAGACAGAAAGAGAATGCGTTTTGTTATTTATGCTTATGATTCGCACAATGTCACACAATCTTATCCCACAACAAATGGCGGGAGGGGGATGCTTTGAGCTATATAACGTTTGTCTAGTTTTATAAAATGTATATAAATAAATATATGTGGTTGTTCTATAGTAACGAAAGGGTAAGCATCCGTAAAAATCCGTAAAGAAAAATAAGAAAAACAAGTCAACTACATCGCCCATGATCCCTTGCGTCGCTGTGTGTTGACATAACGAAACCCTCAGGATCAAACACCTGCAGCTTTTAAGTCGTGTAAGTTTTCTCTACACTGGTATACGGGAAACATGAGCAACAAACGGAGTAAACTGACCTAAAGTCCAAAAAGCATCCAGGAGGAATTCTGACTATGCCAAACAAGCACCAGGTAAATCACAGACAAAAATACTGTGTGATTTAATAACTATTATTTACAGCAGTTAGAGCTGTTCCTTAACTTGAACATTGCACAAAATAAGATTTATTTTCTGTGAATAAATAGTACCAAACGGTGTAATTATGTTTCTGACTTTGACTGAAGTGATAAGGGTTTTGTTGTCATGAAGGCATTTCATTGTATCTGTGGTCTTTTACTAAAGAATTATTTTGTATCTTTGCACCAATGAGACTGTAAAATACTATGGAATATTCTTGTTGAGTGTCTTGTATGTTTGTGTCCAACAGCACGGTGAGAATAAGGCAAATTTCCCTGAGGAGACAATAAAGTTGAACCTTGAAGGCAATGATTATCTTTCTATTCGTAATAATAAAGTGTATTTTTACGTCTCTTTACATCCGCAATTTCAACATTCAACCACATCCTCATTTGGCCATCACGAAAACTCTACTTTTCCCAGGTAGTTTACGTTGCAGCTGATCATGGAATTAACGCGGTGCTCAATAATAACATATTCCCAAAGGTAATTTATCGACAACAATTCTTTTACATTTGTGACAGGCCTGTGTGTAGATTGGCCTATGTGTGGTTGTAAAAGTGGGGATTGTTGGAGTAATGGAAAGAGAAATATTCAAAAATGTATGAATCATGCTCAATAAAATTAGGGTAAAACAATTCTATGATGGTTAAAAGTGTCAGTTTGCTCTGTATTGGTGAATTGACAACTTTGTAAAGTCCTCCGAGACGACTGCTGTTGTGATTTTGAGCTATACAGAAATGAATTGAATTGGAGTAAAAAATATCGAAACAACTGCAAAAACCATCGCTGTAAGATTTCCACTGGCCGCACAGTAGTAAATGTAATGAGTGACGTCACTAAACCTGGCGATCATCAGCAGAAAACTGGAGTCATCCTGAAGTGGACACTACAGAGGAGCCACGTCAAAGAAGAATCTACCTGCTCCATTATCTTGGCCGCATCGAGCCTGATTTCCCTCTGGGGCTGATTACGGCTGGTCTGCTGCAGCGTATCGGCTTAACCTGAATAGTAGACTAGTCTGTAATCAGTAGGACCTCAGGGGGAGGTCAGCATGTCCCCCGGTGTCCATCTTAGGAACAAGTGACAGTAATGAACGTGTCCTCCGCTGCCACTCACAAATCAGGGCATTCAGAGTAGAGTGTGGTTCTGCCTCTTCTTTTATTCTCTTCTGTTTCACTCCGTTCTGAGCTGCTGCAATGTTTCTTTGCTCTTAAATTGGGAAGTGTCTCCGCTTCAGGCAACTGTGTTTTTTCCCCCGACTTTCTCTGAGCCGAAGAGCAGTTTTTTGAAGGAGGAACGGTGGCATCCCAGGAAAAACTTTTAGCGTATTCTAAATGAGGAGAAAATCATAAACAAACAACCGCAACTTCATAGGACTTGTGATGCAATTTCTCCCCTTACAACACTAATCTTTTTATAAAGATTTTTTACATTTATTTCCAAGTCTTATAATTTTTTAGAATATTAGATAAAGATTTCCATTCTCCCTATTGTTTTCACATGTATTTTTTGGTCGTCACACATAAAAAGCAAAATGGAAAGGACCCATCCTCACTCAGCCAAAAGATCAAATCAAGCGGATCTTTTTGTCAATTATGCAAAATATAACAAGTTTTGTAATGATGAAGACAGCATGTTGTGGTGTGATATTTACAAAATTGAACTTTTACAAGACTCTTTCTCTTAAACACAATGCATTATTTATGGGGAAAAAGCTAGGCACCCCATCTTTAAGGAAGTATTGTGTACACATAACTGTTTTGTTTTGTCCTCAGAAACAATGAGTCAGATGGAGGTTTTGCTGTAAAAATACTGTGTGATTTATTCTAATTTACCAAAAACATGTTTACCCCGAGTGATCTACGCTTACAGAAACATATGGAAACCCAGAGAACATGTTTCATATTTCTGAAAAACTTGTTCCAGTTCCAAAAGATGTTGAGAAAACAAGATGCCAGCTGCCGGCTCATCCTCTATCTTCACACCACAGCACTGCAGTGGGGTCCACTCGGCTCCATCAGGCGATCACAGACTTCCTCAGGCCAAATCCAAGTCATTAGTGGCCCCCAAGCTGTGCCACATGCTCTTACATAAGACAGAGAGAGGAGTCTTCTCAGGCTTCTCAGTTCTGCAACACCAGCTTCTAAGCCACGTACAAAATCAAAGAGGCGGAAAATATGCTCAGTGTAACTAAAGGAGTCCATTGAAATGTTACTACAATTACTGGACCAAGGGGTGTCGAGGCTGTGGTTAGAACCAATCCATTTAGGCTTGGGTGATGTGGTGATTAGGACATTATTTACCACAAATGTAACTAACTATTTTCAGTAACATGTTGCAGTCATTATTAGAGGTAGATTAAAGTCTGTTTAAAGTTTGATTGATTAATTCATTCAAGCAGAAATTTTACATTCATAAGTATTTACAATATTTACATTCCTTAGTTTATGTAATCTTTTGTAAATGTTGCCTTCTGTGCTTACAGAATATACTCACGCATGCAAATAACTATACAATCAAGCTACAATATTGGCTCTAGTTTCACCATGTGTAGTATATAGACAATGCACTTCTATTCACAATTTGTCAGCTCGAAATGGAGTGGGAAAGAAGTAAAAACTTGTAGACTCCCACCCCATAAAAAAAGTAAAATTACATGTAATCCTGACCCATACATTACATATGATCCAAAGACAGCCGTCACAAGAGGTAAACTTTGTCTTATTCGTCCCCAGTGTAAAAAAACAAGCGAGACAGGAGTGAAGTCTTCCATGCTGCGCTGCTCAGTTGCCCGTGTCAAACTCAATCAAGTTTGTGGACAACACTGTCATCTTTGTGTGCTCGGGATTTTATTAATTCAGTATTATTCTTTTTTCCATTAGCGCTAATGTTGCTAAATAGTTTATGAGCTCGCTGGGAAACATGCCTTGTCTGAACCAACTCTGCCTTATGCAACACAAAACATCGAGATGAAAATGAATAAAACGATAAAGCTTGTCTTTTTACCTCAGCGGATTCAAAGGGAATAACTTTTGGGAGTGGAAATATTTGATATGCGGGGTCCATAGCGTACTGCGGACCATGACATTTATTTTTGAAGCAAACGCTCAGCAAATAAACCCATGTTGTGTATTCTCATTTGGAATTCACTCGGTCGAATGTGTTTTCATCAAATTTGTAAAATGTGCTCTGGGATTTGAGTTTGGTCTCCATTGAGTGACTAACAAACAGCCAAAGTTGTTCAGCTCATAATAGATTCTTTCACTGCCAATTATTCGTTATTTGTCAAGTAAAGTCATTCAGTTTTAAAAGGCAACATAGAATTTTAATGGTGGAAGATATTGAAGAATTATTAAAAGGTTGTATGTCCAGGGGCATAAACAAAATATAAACAGTCGTCTCTTCTTTGACTATTCAATCATTTTGACTTTTTCTTTCAGGTTTTATAAGGTGCCATACGCAGCCTTCCTGGTGGAGGGTCTTCTTTCTGCTTGGGCCTTTTTTTGGCCGGAAATATTCTTTCATATGGCGGAGATAAGAAAGAGACGTCACTAGGTTAAGTTACAAGCTACATCGGAATTATGATAATTATTGTATCATATAAGGCTCATTCCAAGCAATGCAAACACCACAATGACGGACCAACCTTGAGGTGTTTCTGCAGTAATTTTTGAAAGGACACACACACACACACACACACACACACAAAGAAGCAAAAACACACCTAATCCTAACCCATTATCGTGTGAAGCCATAAATTCAAATACATTTTTTTCCAAACTATTACATAATTCAGATGCTCTGGGAAGAAAAAATATCTAAAATTCAGTTTAAGCACGGCGGCCCAGGAATTTAAAGGAACTGGAACTTTTTGGCAAGAAGAATGGGCAGCTGTACCATCAGGGAAATAAACAACTTCACCTACCAATACCACAAAGGACTCCAAGCTGCTATAGATGTTAAAGGGCAAATACAAACTATTGCAAACCTGGGGATGGAAACTTCTAATCAGTGTCATGTGAGTAGCTCCCGCTGTCATTACAATCTGGGTTTGTTCCTGTAAATGCGAGTGCTGTGTCGAGTAAGCAGCGGACTCACTTGAGCGTCGTCATCTCTGTGAGCGATGGCTGTGTGGCCTTCAGGTAACTGGCCCGCCGCGCCTGCACCTTGGGAGAGGGTTTGGGGCTGCCGTCTGAGTCGCCACTGTCCTCCTCTGCCATGGCCTTAATGTAACTCCCACTTCGCATCCTTCGACACGGGATCTCATCGTCTTTTCCCAGAGGGGCGAATCCACCCCAGTCGTCTTGAGGCACCTGTTTGCATAAAAAGTTCAACACATTTTATAATCTAGATAAACAAACAGGCTGAGTATACTACCATGAAATTATAGCGGCAGAGGCCTTGTTAAAATCCTCGCAGAATATCAATTGAAAGCATTTAATTGTTTTGACAAAACTCTGCAGTAGTCTGGCCCCTGTCTGCTTTTCCTGACTTTTCACACTCGCTAATGAAGGTAAAAATAAAACGCCTCAACCTATCTCCTGGCTCTAATCTAAACGGAGAGAGAGGGAGACAAAGATAGAACCGGGAAGAGCCAGACAAAACAAAGGAGTTTTTGTTGAACCGAGCCACAGCAGTCCCACCGTGAGAGGCTGTTAGGGCACTAGCTCCGAAAGGCAGAAATAAGATACAGGCTTAAAAAAAAAAAAAAAAAAAAGTGATCATTCAACAGGCGAGTGCGTAGCTAGGAGACCAAGCTGACCTTGATGCTAGGGACAACAACACTTCATGCACACGTCTTGACAGGCAGCTTACGTCAAATATCTGCTCTGTCAATGAGAAAGCTGTGAATGAATGAAAAAGAAATGTGTGACTGTTCCCATTGAAGCTGCCTTTACAAAGTCGAGAGGAAATCCGGTTGGACCATGGCACAAACTTAGCTCTCAGATGTTTTTGTTTGCAGGTTGTTAACATTCACTACCACACTAGACTTCTTTAGATTCTATGAACCTATTTTCTAACTTGGTCTGCTCCGCTCAATCGGTCAATTTCCGATAGTAAACATGCTTTCATATAGAATCTGAGCCTTTTCTTTTTACCTGTCTCCCCAACTCTCTCTTGGGGGAAATGCCTATAGCTGTGAGGCAAAGGCTTGCATCTAAAATATTTTATTTTTTCCCCAAAGACAAAGTGTAAGCAGAAGGAAGGTAGTGTGGAGCGAGTCTCTGTGATAGTGGTGCTCCAGGCTCAGGGAATGGTGGCGTTTTTCTTCATCTTTTGTTTTTGTAAATTCAAAGCAGAACACAGGCCAGACTCTGTTAAAAATGTGGCGATACAGACCTTGCTGTACATAGATTCTATTAATAATGAGTAAGTAAATAGAGAAAAGTTTAAATGGGAGAAATGGCTTACAGCGGATTATCTAGGACGCTTATTTCTAAACCTTTAGTTTAGGAATAATTCAAATGATTGCATATATATTTTAGATTATGGTGCAGCGTCAGTGCCTTCATGAAATCAGTATTTTTGAACCAGTTTGAACCAAAGAAAGTTACAAATAATATCCATGGAAGCAGTCTCACTGGCAGTAAGAATGCATTTTTTTACATAATGTACAACAACAATGCCCCCATTGTTTGTATTGTCTTATAATAATGACCTCTGATGTAATCAATATCATAAGTGTAAATTATTGATTGCATTTTCACTTCATTTTTAACACTTGCAAATGAGATTCATAGGAACTCCCCACTCCTAGTTTTCAGACGCATTGGTCTGTATGCACACGGTTGATAAGGGCGATGACAGATAACACTTGGCTATCAGTGAGTGCAGTAACACAATAATGAACATGCAGGTTAACAGGAAAGGTCAAGTATGGCACCATTCACTCAGAGGTGACAGTATAAACAGTGACATGCTCGTTCATGCACAAACAGCAGCGCATGACAGAGCCCAGTGACCGGTGATAATGAGAGACCAGAGGGATGGACCTGTCCGCCTGCTGCCAGCTCCACCTGTCTGCCCCGCACCGAACAGCACACACGGCACAAGCACGCAAATACACAAATGAGCGAGGACTGGTGGAAGATGATGCGTGACATGCCAGAGGTGGAATCGCGAGACCTCCTACCTGTAGAAAATGGCAGGTGCGCCCTTGCTCTGCTTTCACTAGCGCCTTATCTAGGTTGACCGAGGCCTTCTGGTAGACCTCCCTGGCCCTGCTCACCGTCAGAGTGGAAGACCATGAACTTTTCTTCACCTGCACCGGACCTTCCAACGCAGGGACCAGGGGCAGAACGGAGCCACCCCCGGAGCACGTCGAACACTTGACATCGTTGTTGCTACGTGAGTTCTTCAAAGAGTGGGCGCTGATGGTGTTGTAGGACTCCATGAAGTATTGCGATTGAGACCTGTCCGGATGCCTTCCCATGGTCATAACCCCAGAAGGGATACCCCCACTGTTGCCCCCGTGGTGATGGTGGTAGAGGCACATCTCCCGGTCTAAGGTGTCATCTGAACTCCAGTAGCCCGATATCGCCGACCGCATCTTGGGCTCTGACTTGGAGCGGTCTTTACTTTTACTCCGCTTGCTGTGCTTGAGCGTTCCCGACGATGAAGGTGGGTCATCTGGGCTTGATTTGCTGCCGTTCATCTTCCCGTTGCCCCCCGGCCCGGACCCTGGCCCTTCTAGAGAGTGTGACTTTGTAAAGAGCTTCTGGACGGAGTGCACGAGATGGCGGATTCGACCGGGGCTATCGCTGCGTTGGTGCTCTATGGCTGTCCTCTTGTACTGCAGCGTGTGGTAGCCCTCTCTCCGCATCTGTCCTTGATGGTCAAACTGCTCCATTGCGTTCGAACGATTGCTGTTGGCCCCGGCTGAGTTCCCTTTTGACGGACCGGTATAAGGCACCATCGCGTTGCACTCGTCTTTAAGCTCATGATGCGAGCTGTAGTGTCTGCGTGGGAAGGTGCAGCTGGCCAGGTCCGGGTAGGGCGAGCAATCTGGACCAAAGGAGTTCCGCTGGGGAAAGCAGGAGTGTTCGGACGGGTGAGGCTCCGGGGAGGTGAGGAAGTAGGCCCGTCGATCTCCATGGCCCAGCGTCATGGAGTCGTAGGAGGGGTCACAGGTCACGCCGTGGTGGTGGCTGCGGCTGGTGGACAGGCCTTTCATCGTCATAGCGGCTGAGGGCTCGAGGTGCACATCCAACAGGAAGCCTGCGCTGGCCCCACGTCAACTCTGCAAAACACACAAAAGGTATTAGGATAAACAGCTGAGCCAAGATGTTGACAGAATTATAAATATCTTGCATTTGCTTAGATGCAAAGGGTGGCAGCCTTGTCTCGACTAATTTGAAGAATATGCTTCTTGGCACCCTTTTACACTTGAGAGAGCTCGCTGATGCTGACGGGTGGAGAATCCTTTCTTCTCTGGCAGTATTTTTGTCCTTCAAAACTTCAAAACGGCCGCATCTAAATATAGCAACTCAGCATGCGATCTCTGACATCCAAATCTGTCCTCCAGCTATCTCTACCCCGTCTCAATTTGCTTGAGTGGATTTTTGTGAAAAGGTGACACAAGATATGGATAGGAAATTAAACAAAGAACGCAAATTGGACCTTTTTTGTCATAATTAGTGCTATGAAAAGCCAATATTAAGATGTAACAGAACACGTTGGACTTATAAAACAGCAGCACCTTTTCGAGGTCCTCCACATGCTTTACAGGGCAGTGGGGACTGTCTGCTGAATGTCTGCCTGGAGGCGCAGCTAATAAGACAATAATAGAAGACCATGCAGGCTCGAGCAGTGGTGCTGCTCAGGAATTCATTACAGCAATTGATAACATGCTAGCAAAGGCCAGAGCGGTAAATAAAAGAGGCACAGACATAACAGCGGAAAATGGGGGAGACTGCACTGGGCAATGAAATGTCTTGTCAGTACATTGCAGGTAATACAAACATAGAGATAATTTCCATGCATGAATCAAGAGATCGACAGTGATATATCACTGGGCTATAAAACGGTGGATAGTGGAATAATGGAAAACAGGAAATTATTCATTAAATTACTTCCAAACAAAAGATGGACATGGAAATGCAAAATAACCAAGGGATAATGATGTGCAATAGAGTGAAGATTTCTCTATATGTTCAGTCATTTCAATTTGGCTGGTCTCTTTCTAATATCTAAATATTTAAAAAAGAAATATGATGTATTATTATTGGCCATTAAAAATTCGAATGAGACTATTCACCTTCATGCTGTAGAATGGGAAATGACATGTTAAGTAAAAAATAATGGTGAAACAAGTATGAATGCTTCCGCTTGTAACTCCCAATGCAAACACCAGAGGAGTTGAATTCGTCTTTTTTTTCAGTTTTTTGTCAAATTTTAAAAAGGCATCAATCGATCTAAAAACAACTCCCAGAGTGTTTTGATGCAGGAACAATGTTGTAACGGATAAAAGTTCAAAAAGGTTTAACTAGTGCATATCATGTCTTTTTTAAAACAGTGTCCTGTCCCAGTGCCAACTCCTCACTCGTCCCTTAAAAGTGGCCACTCTCAGACCAAAGGTATTCATGGGTGTGGACAGACATCCCTTCTGTTGGCTACTCCAAATCTGACCTAAATAAAAGGCCCTCAACATGATCTCCTGTGCCGCAGCTGTCTACGGCACTGCTCCAAAGCCAGTGAAGTTGCGTCGCACCACATTGTCTGAATGGTGTGTGTGACAGGCGGCATATCCGTGGTGAATTGTAAATGCATGAGCTTGTACAGTGCAGTTTCACGACGGCACTGTGAGGCGGGGAGGCTGGGCTGTTTGTCTGTCAGCGTGAGCCTCCAGCGGCTTCAGAGAGCGGAGCAGCGTGGATGGACTGCAGTGCTTGTGTATATGACCACTGACACTGCAATGGCTCCTGACCCAGATATGCCATACCTGTCGGTTCTACTAGCATCAAAACATCTCAAGGCAACGGCTCAAGCTACAGGCTAACATCTAGATAATGTCATTGATGCATGAATCATAGTGATACATCGTAGTGGAGGTAAATTTGACAGTGAGGTTTGTTTGAAATTAAACAATAAAACAACATTATACGTGTCGAAAAAGCATATTCGACACAAGCAATGAGAGAGTTTGGTGATGATGTCAAAAAAAGTAAAATATGTCATTATTTGTTATATAAAGTGGAGCTAGGGGTGGGCGATATGGCCTAAAATTCATATTGCGGTATAATTTGGGACACAGACGGTAGACGGTATATATTGCGGTATAATTTGGTGTGAATTTCAATATAGGTCTAGCAGGTTCTTGCATAAAATAGTCAAGATTGTTACTTATTTATATATTAGAATCTAATATATATATTTTTTTAGTTATTCAGTGAGACGAATAAAGAGACAAATGTTGTAACATACATTATTTATGTATGTTACAGTAAATACCGTTCACTGTAAAAGCAATTTTTAAAAAGAAAAACATGTGCATTCATTTAGAATATAAAAAACTCACAAATGTTGAAATCAAAGTCTGTAGGAGTTAGACATGGTCATTATTTATAGTGTCTGAGAGTTTTGTGCGTGTACATGACTTCAGTAAAAGCTATTGTTCGTTTACAAAGCTGGTCTTGCCATTTGTTGACGCTCCCTAAGCGCTTTTCTCTGCACTTGCAGTGAACTGGATGATTCAATGGATTTATGTTAATTAAAACAGCGCATTGGATTTGAACAATTGATGTAAATGATCATTTTGGCACAATAAATTTTGTTTAACAAAGTAGCTTTCGTGAGATATTGACCGCGGAGGTCCGAATCTGACGCTAACTTTCCCAAACTTCTGCTGTGATGCTGCTGCGGACACGGCACACGCATGGATCTATTTTGGCTCACACGAAGCCTACACAATTGGCCAAAAGGTAGACTCTTAAACTGTGATTACTGTGTGTATTTACCTCTGCTGGGGCCGCTGTCACAACAATACAGAGACAGAAACACGTGTTAATGCCGTGCTGTTGTTCGTTGTTTCCAATGGTGTCTGCTAGGCTAATAGTGCTAGGCTAATGCTGCTAGGCTAATAGTGCTAGGCTAATGCTGAATGCCGGTTTGTTTTGATGCTCTCTGTTGGCGTCAGAGCCTGCGCAATTTGATGACATAATGACCTATCGCAATATGCCGGTATAACAAAAATCTCTACCGTGGGCCAAATTTATATCGCATACCGCTTATACCGTTTATATCGCCCAGCCCTAAGTGGAGCAAGGCAACTTTTAACAGTTTGTGATGGATCTGACCATGTTGAGATCATAGACTGTAATTATTAACGGACGTAGTCACGCCTATCTCTGCTTTCACAAATATTATTGAAACAATAATAGCTCCATACTGGAAAATGTGAAAAAAATGCATCTGCGCATGCATCAGCCGGCATGAGCCCCATTCATTTAAACAAGTGACTTCAAAATTTCACAGCCACTAAACTAGACTGATCCAAAATAATTCACTCCCCTCAGCATTGACACACATGTGGATTGGAGCTTTGAGCCAAGAGCCAATTTTTGGACCATCCTGCAAAGACGTTTTTGAGAGGTCAGAAGATACATACATTAGCATTGAATAATTCTTATTCCGGGTCCACCGCCATCGGCCCGGGTGGTATTGAAAGCATGTCAGCGCACGTCAATGCGGCCAATTTTGAGCCGGGATCCGCCCCCACAGGTTGAGATGCAGATTCCCAATAGTAAGTTTACAATGAAGTGAACATTCTACATTACAGGGGCTAAGCTGCATTCCTTTAAAAAATAATCGATCCAGACTTGATCAAGCTCACTTACAGAATGTTATACTTGCCCCATGTCCTCGCTTCCCTTAAAATTTGTTTGGCAATTACATACCTAACAAACGAAATAACTTTTCTATCAACAAATGTATACCAACAGCGACAAACCATTTTATGAGGTATAAAATGATTGAGTGTAGAAATCCCATATCACTACATTCGGGCTCCTGCACTATCCTGTGCAGCGTACAAACATACCGACAATCAAGAAACATAAAGGAGTTCACATGATTTTATACAATATTTCCCCAAAATTGACTAAAGCTAACAGCAGGGAGACTCTTCACTTATAAATATTTGATTTAATGGAGATTTCAGATTTTAATATATCAACTTGTGAGCCAGACTGAGCCACGAGCTGTGGAGAAAGTAGCCACAGCCGTGACAAAAAAGGACATTTAGCATTATCGCAGTGTGAAGAGTGCCTTTTCAGTTATTCTTAGGGGGAATCTGTGGGCAGGATTTCAGAAAGCACCAGGGGCCACTGGGATGTGAGGGATGTGCTAATTTCCCAGTGTTTCTGGATTGTGTTGAAGTGGCTTTTAGTAATGTAGTCAGGAATGGTCGTCTCACTCCACTGTCCATCAAGCAAGAGGAAATCGCTGTGGGTTTTACAGGATATGCTACAGAAATCTAAAATTGTAAAGGGAATTAAAAAAAAAATTCAGTCTACAGGTCAGAGCTGTTAGACCAAAAGCATGATGACATTAGATGGTAAGTTCCTGCTAAAATACTTCCATTATGAAACTCTGAAAATAAGACATTTCTCACACACTGTATTTAAACGTGAACAAGTGTTTCAGCCTTGCACCTTTAACACTTCCAACAACTCCTGTTAGAAACATTATTTAATCTGCTTTCCCTCTCAGTCTGCCAACAGATGTTGTCTCTGCGTTGTATTTAAGCCTAAACTAGCTTTTATGTTCATTCTATGAAGCTGTTTTGTTTAGGTGTGTGTAACAATAGATTACACCTACCTTATATTACCTCACCATTACATCGGTGTACGTAAGTGGATTGATGTACACATTTCTATTCAGACAGCTCTTTTGTCACAACCAAACTAATTAGAAGGATTGTCAGGGCTTACTCAGACAAATGGACAGACTGCATTGAGTTATGGGGAACCTCGGAATATATTCTGGGGCAGAAACCCTGCACTAATGGACTCTATTTGATCAAAGTAAACAAATTAACAGCAGTATTAAGGCCTCACAAACTCTGTACTGCCCAAAAGATGAAGATGACTTGTTAAAAGATCTTAAACATTAGAGAGCAAGAACATGCAGCACAAAAGAGAACGAAAGACTTTGCTAGCTTCACAAATGTGAGGATTTAAT